CAAGGGGCAACTCTTTACTTTTCTGCCAGTTTGTTATTATGGGATAGAGCCAGCAGGCTCCTGTCCTGAGACGAACTGGACAAGCCAAAGATGGTTTCTCCTGCCCTGCTTAAAAATAATACCGTTTTCTTCTTGAGTCCAAACGAAGGAGATGATTGAGAAGAAGACGTGTACATCAGGGTATAAAAGTGGCTCATTGGGTCATAGGAAGGGATTTCTGAGGGTTTGTATCATCTCACCCGAACCTTTAAAAACTTTTTGTTTTGTTTTATTGTTCCAATAAACGCCTACGCAAGCCTGCCTTGGGTTGTGTAGTTCAGACATGCATCAGGAAGTTCTCTTTTTTTCCCAATATTTTCCCAATATTTTATTTCATCAGTATTAAACTTAGAAATACTTTATTGTCATCGTACGTATATACACAGTGTACACATACAGCGAAATTCACATAACACCCAGAGACCAGACACAACACGCACGCACGCACAGGACAATCCCCAAACACACCCACCCACCCACCAACATTTCCCTGCCCCCTAAAAACACACAAGCCTCCACACAACAGACCAAGTAACACTGTCCAACAGCTCACTGATGGCGGTCCTTAAGTTCATTGTTAAGTGCCATTATAGCTCTGGGATAAAAAACTGTTCAGAAAATGTGTGGTCTGAGTTTGAATTGTTCTGTATCTTCTGTTGCCAGAAGGCAACAGTTCCACAAAGATTGTGAGCAGGATGGGAAGAGTTTCTGATAATGTTGTGCGACTTCCACAAACAGTGAGATGCGAAGATGTCATCCAGGGCTGGTAGCTGGAGCCCAGTGATATTCTGAGCAGTTTTAATGATTCTCTGTAGAGCCTTTTTTGTCCGCTACAGAGCTGCTCCCATTCCATGCAAGAATGTCGTATGTCATTCTGCAGTAGTACGACAGAAGTAGATGCCGAGATAGACTTATCTTCCTGAACATTGTCAGGAAGTGCAGCCTCTTCTGTGCCTTCTTCACAAGCATGTTAGCATTCATAGTCCATGAGAGGTTCTCTGAGATGTAAGTGCCCAGAAACTTAAAACTACCAACCCTCTCCACCTCCTCGCCATTTATGTACAATGGTAAATGTACATCTCTCTTCCTCCTGAAGTCAGTTATAAGTTCTTTAGGGATTTTTTGGTGTTAAGTGTAAGATTATTTTCTTTGCACCAGAGTGCCAGCCCTTGTACCCCCTTTCTATAAGCAGCCTCGTTGTCCTTATTAATGAGCCCCATCACTGTTGTGTCATCCACAAATTTGATAATTGTGTTGGTGTTCTACAACGGGGTGCAGTCATATGTGTACAAAGAATAAAGGAAGGGGCTTAGCACACAACTCTCTCTCTCTTTCTATCTATTCTACCTCTCTTTATCTATCTATCTATCTACCTATCTATCTACCTATCTACCTACCTACCTATTCCAGAGGTCTTCAAACTTGACAGCTTGAAGACTTGTGGACTTCAACTCCCAGAATTCCTCCTCCAGTCATGTTAGCTCAGGAATTCTGGGAGTTGAAGCTCACAAGTCTTAAACTTCCCAAGTTTGGAGACCCTTGATCTACTCTATCTATCTATTCTCTCTCTCTCTCTTTCTCTCTATCTATTCTACCTCTCTTTATCTATCTATCTATCTATCTATCTATCTATCTATCTATCTATCTATCTATCTATCTATCATCTATCTATCTATTCCAGGGGTTTTCAAACTTGACAGCTTGAAGTCTTGTGGACTTCAATTCCCAGAATTCCTCCTCCAGTCATGTGAGCTCAGGAATTCTGGGAGTTGAGGTCCACAAGTCTTAAACTTGCCAAGTTTGAAGACCCTTGATCTACTCTATTTATCTATTCTCTCTCTCTCTCTCTCTCTCTCTCTCTCTCTCTCTCTCTCTCTCTATTCTACCTCTCTTTATCTATCTATCTATCTATCTATCTATCTATCTATCTATCTATCTATCTATCTATCTACCTATCTACCTACCTACCTACCTACCTATTCCAGAGGTCTTCAAACTTGACAGCTTGAAGACTTGTGGACTTCAATTCCCAGAATTCCTCCTCCAGTCATGTGAGCTCAGGAATTCTGGGAGTTGAGGTCCACAAGTCTTAAACTTGCCAAGTTTGAAGATGCTTGCCCTAGACCTTTCCAGACAAATGACTGTCCAGTGTCTTCTTAACAACCTCCAGCGATGGAGCAACCACAATTTCTGAAGGCAAGCCATTCCCCTGATTAATTGTCCTCACTGTTAGTAAGTTTCTCCCTAATTCCAGGTTGCTTCTCTCCTTGGTTAGTTTCCATCCGTTGTTTCTCGTCTTGCCTTCTAGTGCTTTGGAGAATAGCTTGACTCCCTTTTGTCTTTGGGGCAGCTCCCTTGTGGAATACTGATGTCACATCCCCTCCAGTCCTTTTTTTTCTCTGGAAGTCCTTACAATCATTCTTCCTGCAAGCCTTGAATCCTCTTAGTTGCTCTTCTTTGCATTTCTTTCCCCCCCCCAACCCATCCTGGCAGAAAACTCTGCTTGACCTACTTCCCAAAAAAAATATCAAAAGAGCACAAGAAGGCACTCAACCGAAAACTAGCCTTGGAACAGAAGAAACCGAAAACTAGCCTTGGAACAGAAGATTCTCTTCTCGCTCCGATCGCCAAAGGAACCACCCATTCCTAAAAACCTTCACGGCTCCATCGTCCAATCCCTGTTAGTTACACAGAATGGCCTTCGCCTTCCCCAGCAGGGGTGATTTTCACCCGCGCCCACCCTTACAGTTTGTTCTTTTGTGATGCCTGGCACGGCACCCTGGGAGCTGCAATTTTCCCACAGTCAGCCTAAGGCCAAAGCCCTCCAAGGGAGTGGAGAATTCTCTGACAAAGGGAAAAAAACCTCGTTTTCCCTCGCGGATGAACAGCGAGAGAGGGATTTCAAGGACAATCTTCATTGTGTCTTCGCAAATTGGCAGCTTCTCTTCTCTCTCTCTCTCTCTCCCCCGCCATCCCCCAATCAACCTGACCCAGTTCTTCTAATAAGGTTCCCATCTGCTTGTGAATGTGCTTGTTTCTGCCTGGAATTGCTTTGGGCCTTCTTGAAAAAAATCAACCCAGATTTAAGGCTGCGTCTACGGCTGTTTTTTTCCCCAGTGGTCTTTTGAAAAAGGCTCCTCCGTCGGAGCCAATTTTCCTCACGTCTTTCTCTTTCCTCCCCCCTCTTTCTCTTGTCTCTTTGTTTCTCTCTCTTTTCTCTCACTCTCTTTCTTCATCTTGGTCTCTTTCCCTCTTTCTCAATTTTTCTTCTTCTTTCTTTCTCTCGACTTTCTCTGGCTCTTCCTCTCTTTCTCCCTTTCTTTCGTCCTTGCTTTCTCTTTTTCTTTCTCTCTCTTCATCTTTCTTTCCCTTTCCCTTTTCTTTTGTTGTCTCTTTTTCATTCTTTCTCTCTTCTCTCTTTTCTTCTTTCTCTGTCTTTCTTCCTCCTTTTCTTTCTCTTTCTTTTTCCCTCTTTCTCTCTCTCTTTCTTCTTTTTTCTCTGTCCCTTTTTTTCTGTCTGTCTGTCTCTCTCTCTCTCTCTCTCTCTCTCTCTGCATTTGTATGTGTGCATAAGCCTCAGCAAATAGGGTTAGCTTGACTGTCTTTAGGATCTACTGTGTGTGTGTGTATATACATATATGTATATATGTGTGTGTGTGTGTATAGGGTTTTTCATTCATTCACTCGTTCATTTATTTTTATGCATTTATTCATGTATTTTTATTGCTTTTAAAAGAGTGACAGGAAAAGAAAGAGAAAGAAGACATTGCCATTTTTTTTTAAATTACCAGGGCTTTCTTTTTTTTAATTGTTCGCACCAGGAGAAGTCCTTTGTGGGGGAGAAATACACACTATTGTGTAGTGGGGAAGGAAGGACAGGTCCAATGAAGGAAGGAAGGAGGGCTGAGGGACTCTTGGCTATCGAAGTAAAATATGAATTACTAAATTACTAAAGCTGGACAACTGATAGTCTATTTAAATCATCAATTTTGTTCTCAGGGAAGAGAAATGGATTTTTCAAAGGCAAGTTTCACCCTTTATTTTCCCTCAGGCCACAGGCAAGACGATTCCCTTGTATACCTACAGATCGTCCTCAAATTACAACCGTAAAAAGGAACGTGCCCGTTAGGATTATAAATCAGGACCATTTCAGTTCAGGACACCGGACATACGAAGGTTCATATTGTGTGATCTTTGTTGCGGTGGTCATTAAACGAACACTGTGGTGGTAATTAAGCGAACCAATCATTGGCTGTGGGCCCATTTTGATGAAAACCGGAGGTAGCTGCCAGTTTTTGGCACAACCCATCGTGGCCACATGACCTTGGGATGTTACGAACGACTGTAAATATGGACCTGGTGCTGAACACCCAAAGTGAGGTCATGTGACTTCAAGGAGAGGGCAGGAACGGCCGTCAGAACTTCAAATCTGGGTCGTAAGTAACCCAGGGGAAGTCCATGGAAACTTCCGATGGGTATGAAGTGACCGGTCATAAGTGGAGGACGACCTGTATAATATTTCCGTCACTCTGGAACCTTCCTGGTTGTCCAAACTGTCCGATCTGCAAAAGTTCCCCGGGAGGAAATGGCTATAGAGGTTGGATCCAACTGGAACGGGAAGTTCTTGACTTCCTTCCTGTCCAGGAGGAATGAGTAGCAGGTCTTTAAGGGGTGGTCTCCAAAGCCAGAAGAACATTCTACGTGGTCACCACATTGGGCTTCAACCCTACTCCATGGTGGAAGACTAAGCATCTTCTGACAATGACCTAGGGCTGGCTCCCTCTTGACTGGGGATCCAACTAAAGTTTTAAGGGAGAAGACAGCCCCCCCAGACCGTCGTTTCCCTCAGTGTGTTCCTGTGGCACACACCTTTGTGTAAGATAGAGGCCAAGGAACGAAGGAAGGAAGGAAGGAAGGAAGGAAGGAAGGAAGGAAGGAAGACGGTATGAAGCAATGGAGTTTTAATAAGCGTAGGGTTGATGGTGGGTCTGGAACGAAGCCCGAAAATGGCCGCCTTTGTTTCGTGAAGACCACATGGCCATCGCAATGTGGCTCTCTTCCACGTCATCATCCCACTGCTCCTCGTCTTTTGAGAGGCCCAGCTGGGCCTTGAGATGCTTTAACTGGGCCAGTGTGATATTGTTGCCTCCACACACGATCACCACGAGAGAGTCCAGCTGGGGTGTCAGCTTGCCTTCTGCTTGTAGCTTCTGGACCTTTCCACTGTAGACAATGGCCAAGGCAGCCCCACAAGCAGGCTCCACGAGGATCTTCTCGTCATCTGTGAATGGTGGGAAAAATGGCATTTAATGGCATTAAACCCACTGAATGCCGCGCAGAGAAGACGAAACTGATGCCCATGAGTTCAGCATCATTTGTAAATCTAGGACCCTTAAATTGGCTGGCCACTAGATGGCCAAGAAGAATAAATTTATGGTACTCCTTGCTGCCATCTAGTGGTCTTTTATATGGTAGCTCAGCTCTAGTGTACTGCAGTCTTATCGAACTAAAAACTTGGCTTTCTATAGATTTCAGAATAGAGCTGGAAGGGACCTTGCAGGTCTTCTAGTTCAACCACCTTTTCAAGCAGGAAACCCTATACCATTTCAGACAATTGGTTGTCCAGCCTCTTCTTGAAAACCTCCAGGGATAGAGCACCCACAGCTTCTGGTGTCAAGCTGTTCCACTGGTTAATTGTCCTCACTGTTCAGAAGTTTCTCCTTAATTCCAGGTAGTGTCTCTCCTTGGTTAGTTTCCATCCATTGTTTTTTTGCCCAGCCTTCAGGTGCTTTGGAGAATAGCTTGACTCCCTCTTCTTTGGGGCAGCCCCTCAGATATTGGAAAACTGATATCGTGTCCTTCCTAATCCTTCTTTTCATTAAACTAGACACACCCAATTCCTTCAAGCTTTCTTCATATTTGTTTTTCTTTTCTTTTCTTCTTTTTCCTTAATTTTTTTCCCACATTTCTATCCCGATAGCAGCAGAGGGCAGGACAAGAATAGCCAGAAGAGGGTTAGAGCAAGTGACAACAAGATTAAAGCTTAAAGGAGAGTCACCAAAAAATAAGAAAATGTGTCTATGCTGGAACGGAGTATCCACTCAGCTGGCATTTTGAAGAAAGGTAACTTTTAACAATAGCAACAGCACTTAGATTTATATACCGCTTCACAGTGTTTTTACAGCCCTCTCTAAGCAGTTTACAGAGTCAGGCTCTTGCCCCCGACAATCTGGGTCCTCAGAAGGATGGAAGGCTGAGTCAACCTTGAGCCGGTCAGGATCGAACTCCTGACAGTGAGCAGTGAGTTAGCCTGCAATGCTGCATTCTAACTATTGTGCCACTATGGCTCAGAGTGCGATGAACTTTAGGGATACCTTTTGACTCTTAACATCGGATTTGGAGGAGTTGGAGATGGAGGTGAAAGGGAAGGAGAAGGTAGAGGCAAAGATAAAAGAGATGTGGAGATGGAAGCGGAGATTTAGGCACGAAGAGAAGGATCATAAAGATAAAAAATAGTTGGAGATGAAAACGGAGTTGGAGACGGAGACGGAGGGAAAGATAAGATAAAGATAGGAAGTGGACATGGAGGTGGAAGTGGAGATGAAGATGGAAATAAAGAAGATAAAGATCTAGAGGTGGAAGTAGAAGAAGAAGCAGAGCTTTAAATCAAGGTGGAAATGGAGGTAGAGGTAGAAACGACGACAGGGATACAACAAGATAGGTTGGCTGTGCCAGGAGCCATACCACGTACCCACAAACTTTTCAACCGCTTCCACCGCTTCTTGATCCGTCACCACCACCGATAAAGTCGGGTGCTCCTGAGCCAGCTTCAAAGTCTCTGCTGCCACAACACTGACCCCCAGAGTCGTAGCAACACTGAAAGGAAGATAAGCAGTGTAGTGCCTGCACCAAGCCATAGTTTCATTAACCAGGTCTTACTGAGGAAACCCCAATGAGCTCCTACAACCCTTTTACGACAGAGGCCATCTTTATCAGGTTCAAAGGGGCGGGGAGCTCATCCTTGATACTCCACCCTACTCAAGATAAGTGGTGCACCGAACCATAGTTTAATTTAATTTATCGATTAAACCCTAATGAGCTCCTACAACCCTTTATGACAGAGGCCATAATTATCAAATTCAAAGGGGTTTCATCCTTGATACCCAACCCAACTGTGATGTATTGGGCTGTGGCTTCCCATGGTCTCAGCAACGTCGTGTGCAGACCAGAAAAGGAGTTCGACCATCGTCCAGTTGGTGGTAGGAATGCAGCCATGGTGAATTAGAGAAGAAACGGTCCCATCCAACTCCTAGCTCTTCTCAGCATGGGCTGCTTATCCTGGGCAGCAGAGGTCTCCGTCTCAAGACTCACCTGGTAATTTGAGGAAGTGTCACCAGCTTCCCAGCTGCCAAGGAAGCGTTCAGGCTCTGAGCTCCTTTGGTTTCCAAGGCAACCACCGGCACATCATCCCAGCCCACTTCTCGTAGGCCTTGAATCACTCCACAGAGCATGCCCCCTCCTCCAACAGAGAGGGCAATGGCTCCAGGTTTGGAGGCCATCTGGTCTTTTATCTCCCTCACCAGAGACATGTGACCTTCCCTGGAAGGGAGAGAAGGACGGGGTGAGCCAAACGGCCTTTACGCAAAGAACTGAGAAGGCAGGAGATGAGAGAGAGAGGAACTGGGGGTCAGAAAATGAGACTGACCGTTGGTCAATACGTCCGTTCCGACTCTTCTCAGAGCCCTGAAGGATGATAGATCCAGCAAACCATGTCCCTGGCTGGGCCCTCCCCTCCCCTCCCCGCCCACTCAATCCTTACCTGGTGTGCCTGCCGTCAAACAAAGTACTATTTTTCCTTGTCCCCCCATCCCCCCCTCCAGACCATCAGCTGTTCTGCTGTGCTGGGAGATTTAGATTAGCTAGAAAGCAGGAAATCCTGCGTAGCTTTTTCTCTGGTAATATCACACTACTGACTAGAGCATACAAAACGTTTGCTAGACCAATACTTGAATACAGCTCATCAGTCTGGAACCCGCATTACGTATCTGATATTAGCACAGTGGAGAAAGTCCAGAAATATTTCACAAGAAGAGTTCTCCACTCCTCTACTCGTTGCAGAATACCTTATGCCACCAGACTTGAAATTTTAGACCTAGAAAACCTAGAACTACACCGCCTTCGGTTCAATCTAAATATAGTATATAAAATCATACATTGCAATGTCCTACCTGTCAATGAATATTTCAGCTTCAACCATAACAATACAAGAGCACACAATAGAGACAAACTCAAGGTAAACTGCGCCAAACTTGATGGCAGGAAATAGGACTTCAGCAACAGAGTGGTCAATGTCTGGAATACTCTACCTGACTCTGTGGTTTCTTCCCCAAACCCCAAAAACTTTCACCTTAGACTGTCTACTATTGACCTCACCCCTTTCCTAAGAGGCCTGTCGGAGACGTGCATAAGCGCACCAACGTGCCTACCATCCCTGTCCTGTTGTCTCTTTTTATTTTTCTTATATGTGTCCATTTCATGTATTCATAACCATGTTTATACTTATACTTGTTATCTAATAATCGCTTGACAAAATAAAATAAATTTAAAAAAATAAATAAAAGCAGAGCTGAACCTTCCTTAGGACTGAAGCTTCTATTTTTCAGTGCAGACTCAGGTGGCAGATTGCAGAAAGGTAGATCTCTTGAATGAATCTGTGATTCTGTGAGCAACTCAGCCTGCTGTGAGCCTGCCTTCTTTGCCTGATTTTGGGTAAAAGTTGCTCTTTTTTAATTAAAAAAAATCAATATTTACATATCTATAATATTTACATACAAGCCACACTCTACCAATCACATGACCACCAAGCCACACCCACAATTTAGGCCACACCCACAGAATCGGTTCAGAAATTTGAATCCCACCCCTGCCCTTGACAACTGCGGTCATTCACAGGTCCCAATTGCTGTCCTAAGTCAAGGACTGCTTTGTTTAGCACAACCTTCCTTGAAACTCAGCGGCTCAAACTCAACTAAGGGGTAGAGATGTACTTGGACTTTGATTCAGAACAGCCCCGGAAACCAAATGTGGAAAGATGTTTGATATATAGCCAAAGAAGGACCATAAATTGGTTCTGAGAAATTTCAATCGAATGTCCTCCAAAGATTTCTAACAAACACTGTACGGACGGATCTGGGCTTCAGACCAGAATTGATGGATGATTTTGGCCTCCGAACTTTTCAGTGCCTTCAGGATGTAATTTCCATCCCAGCATAAAAGCAGGTAAGAATGGATGGCTCTTATGTTCCTTTGGGCACTCTTTAAAATAGACCTTAGTTGGATTTTCCATGTGCTACAGGTATGAAAAATAATTCCTAGATATATTAAAAAAAATAGAACTTGTTTGATGTCATTCCTATTAATTTGCCATGGATGCCTGGGGCAGATCTTTTCATAAAGGCCATAACCCCTTTTTTCCCCTCTTTTGGCTATAACATAATTAATCAGTTCTTTATGCAGTGGGAGGTAAAGGAATGAAAGTCCTCCCCTGAAGCCAAGAGAGATAACTGCAGCATCTGGATAAGGAGTTTCTTCTTGGTCTTGTCAGCTAAGATCGAGTGTAGGGGTGGATGGATAAAATTAAGGGATAGAATGAAATCTTCAGCTCTTGTAGAAAAGATGAGGCTATAAATTTAATGGAGGAGGAGGAGGAGGAGGAGGAGAAAAAGGAGAAGGAAGAGGAAGAAGAAGAGGAGGAGGAAGGAGAAGGAGGAGAAGGAGAAGAGGAGGGGATGAGGAAGGAGAGGGTGGAATAAGGAAGGGGAAAAGAAAAGAAGGAGGAAGAAGAGAAGGGAGGAGGTGGAGGAAGGAAGGAGGAAAGAGAAGGAGGAAGGAGAAGAAGAGGAGGAGGAGGAAGGGAGGAGGAAAGAGAAGGAGGAAGGAGGAAGAAAAAGGAGAAGGCTGGAAGAAGAGAAAGGAAAAGAAGGAAGAAGAAAAGGAGGAGGAGGAAGATATGTATTTTTTAGAGACCTCTTTTACAGGGGTGGGATTCAAATTTTTTAACAACCGGTTCTGTGGGTGTGGCTTAGTTGGTGGGCGTGGCTTAGTGGTCATGTTATTGGCTGGGCGTGGCCAACTCAATATCACTCACATCGAAGCACGCATCTCCTCTCCTGGCCTCTCATGACTGTGGGGATGCTGCGACAGTCGTAAGAGTGAAAAACGGTCATAAGTCACTTTTTTCAGTGCCATTGTAACTTTGAATGGTCACTCCACACAAGCAAAGTACCAGCAAAAGAGGGGAAAAAAACTCCAGAGAAGTTCCTGAGACAGGAAGTCTAGTCCTGCCAAGAATGTAATAAGGGTTAATGGAGAGGCAGTTTCTGTAAGCAACACCAGAATGTTTCCTTCCTGCCTTCCTTACAGGATTAGGCCCATAATTTCTTCTAACAACCGGTTCTTCGAACTGCTTGGAATATTAACAACCGGTTCTAGCGAATAGGTGCGAACTGGTAGAATCCCACCCTTGCTCTTTTAGGAATACTTACCAAATCAAGGGATCATCAAATGGAGGCACATAAACCCACTCAGGATTGTTCTTCACCAACTCTATAGCTGCTTTTGTGCTGTCTGCTAATATCTGGGGAGATGAAGTCCCTTTGTTAGATCAAGACAATAAGAAAACAAAACCAAGAAATCTCAACCACTATCTGCAACCTTGAAGAACGACAATAGACTGTAGGTAAGTTGTTCCACTGATCAATTGTTCTCACTGTCAGGAAATTCCTCCTTAGTTCTAGCTTGGTTCTCTCCTTGATTAGTTTCCATCCTTTGTTTTTCCCCCTGCCTTCAGGGGCTTTGGAGAATAAGTTGAGCCCCTCATCTCTGTCAAATATTGGAACCCTGCTATCATGTCACCCCGTCCTTATTCTTCGTTAGATAAGTCCCAGCTCCTGCATCTGTTCTTCGTATGTTTTATCCTCCAGTCCCCTAATCATCTTTGCTGTTCTTCTCTGCACTCTTTCTAGAGTCTCCACATCATTTTTTATCATGGCAACCAAGTGTGTGATCGCTTAACCGCCCTGGCAAAAAAGCTTATAAAATTAGTTCATTTAGCAACCTGCCTGTCAGGGTTCCCATGATTGCCCCAATTAAATCATGAGCCTCAGCCAAACTTCAAAAGAATCCAAAGGATTTATTAGGAGCAACATGTCAGCACTTTTCCCATATGAAGCCAACTCTGCCACACGTAATGTGCGATCACCGGTGACCCTTTCCCCCTCTCCCTGCTGGGTGTGTCATAAATCACATTCTCCAACTGAGCACATTCAAGGGCTGTGCGTCATCAGTCACATTCTCCAATGAAGGATTTTCGCAGGCAGAAGATCCAGTAGCCTAGGCTACAATCTTTGTAAGATAAGCGTGGAATGTACTTCTGGTTTTTAATTGCCGTACTGCTCCTTCAGGTTTTCTCCCCTCTCCTGCTTATGGCAACTCGGAAAAAGGCATAGGAATGCTTTACAAGTTGACACCACCTGGCTTAGTGATGGAATTTCTGCATTCCAATTGTAGTTGTTAAGTCATAATAGCAGATCTTCAGAAGTTTGTTCCTCAGCCCACTGTCTCCACACCTACCTCTCCTTCAACATACACTGAGCTGCCTTCTTCCTTCAGTCGCTCAATAGTGAAAGCTGGGGTACAGGAGGGGACATAGATGGTGGCTGGGATCCCCAACATTCGGGCAGAGTAGGCCACCGCAAGGCCAGCATTCCCAGCTGAAAAGGAAGGTGGTTTGACATGTAAAGTACGGCACTGGGTCTCGAACACCGGATGTCAGCTGGAAAGCTGAGCCTTCGCACCCTTCCCTTAGCAGGCAATAACCTAAATAACCCATTTCATGCATTAGAAGAGCCATGGATAGTGCAGTGGTTAGAATGCAGTACTGCAGGCTACTTCTGCTGACTGCCTGCTGCCTGCAGTTTGGCCGTTCGAATCCCACCTGGCTCAAGGTTGACTCAGCCTTTCATTCTTCCAAGGCTGGTCAATGAGGCCCCCAAATTGTTGGATGCAATATGCTGACTCTGTAAACCATGTAGAGAGGGCTGGAAAACACTGTGAAGTGGTATATAAGTCTTAAGTGCTATTGCTATTAAGAGCTATGGTGGCACAGTGGTTAGAACGAAGAATTGCGGGCTAATTCTGCCCATTGCCAGCAATTCGATCCTGACCGGCTCAAGGTTGACTCAGCCTCCCATCCTTCTGAGGTGGGTAAAATGAAGACCTAAAATTGTTGGGGGCGATATGCTGATTCTGTAAACCGCTCAGAGAAGGCTGTATAGCACTGAAGTATATGAGTCTAGGTGCTATTGCTACGGTGGTGGTCGCCTTCCATACTTTTCATAAGGACTTATGGAAAGTTTGCTGAAAATGGAGAAACAATATAAACCTCGACTTTCATAGCCCAGTCATGTTATTGCTACAGTACATCACTGTAGACTGAGACCACCTCATAGCCTCCATCCCTGGTTGGTCCCTCTTTCTCACACAGATGCTGACCCAAGCAACACCCATATTTGTCGGAAGGCTGCCACGGGTATCCATTTACCTGAGGAAGTGACGAAATGCTTGCACCCCCGTTCCACCCACTGTGGAAGCAAAAACAGAAGCATGAGAAGTTGACCTTCTTCACCGCACAAGAGAACTTCAACTGATTGAAGTTCAACATTTCTCAATTGACATCCCTTAAGGTGGTCACAAAAATAGGAAGAACAGGGATTCTTCAAATACAGCTGAATATTTGGATCGTGTTAGTTGGGACTGACAGCTATTTTCATTCATCAACATCCCCAAGTTATGACCGAATACATTTATGCATACGTGATCGGAATGTACAGGTTGTCCTTAACTTAGGACCACAACTAAGCTCAAAATTTCTGTTGCTAAGTGAGATATCTGTCAAGTGAGTTTTGCCCTATATTATGTATTAGGGGGATTTTCCCCCCTTAGGCTTCTAACACTTACAACACTGGTTATTTCATTCATCGTTGTCATATTTTAATGACCCCATGCAGAGTGGAATCTGGGCAACTGAATGGAGCTGAGTGATTACTTCCTGTCACCAATGGGGAGTTATATTCAGCAGATATATTTTCATCATGCCCAGAGAGAGAATATCTGCCTCTACCTAGGATCGAACTCACAGCCTCTTGAATGTGTGAAGCGAAAGCTCCAACTCTAGGCCACTGCATGACAACAATGGTTATTTCATTACCCCCATATTAGAGGGCTTCAAACAAAGGATGGATCATCATCTATCACAGATGTTCTATCAGACCCTGGACTGAGCAGGAATTGGACTAACGAGATGGTCTGCATTCTACCGTCTGTCTCAAGGACTCCATAATTCTCTTTTTTTTAAAAAAAAATTAAAATGTCAACTCATTCGCTGAACTTGGTTCTTCCTAGGCACAGCCTTTGCTTCAAGCAGTGTCAGATGTAAATTTGACAACTCCTTTTCATGTCCCACTCATAGACTCTCCCCAATCCATACCGTTTTGCAGAAATTCCCAATGCCCCGTATCTTAAAAGAAGCTGCGGGCTGGGAGCACTCCAGTTTGAGATAGACCTTGGTGCCTGCCAACTTAGAGAGAGGGATGCTTTCTCTCAGTGGTGTAGTGACATGGAGGTGATCAGTAGGAGCCATCTAGAAGACTGAGAAAATAAAGATGGTGAGATCCAGAAAGATTGGACTTATACAAATTTGCCAAATAAATAAATAATCATACTGTGTCCTCCCTCCCTCCCTTACTTTGTTAGAAATTCTGTTTATATAAAGCACCACACAAAGAGTACAGTCACCATGTGCTTTACTGCTCAACTATATTATCGAAACAGGAAATTCTACTGTCTTAGAACAAAAGAACGTAGAATAAATACTATAGATCCAAACTTGTAAATGCTGCCATCTACTGGGTAAATACTGCTGTATTTGTTGCATAAAAATGCATTCCAGCAATAAATTCCAATACCTACCTACCTTCCTTCCTTCCTTCCTTCCTTCCTTCTTTCATTCCTCCTTCCCTCCATTCAGTCAGTCTGTCAGTCATCATATTTATAAAGCTGCCCTTCTTACAAAATGTAAATATAGCCATATTAAATTAATGAGGCGTTGGGTTTATACATTTATTTGTGTGTGTGTGCCTTTGAGTCAAAAGTGCTTCCTTCCTTCCTAGGGCTTGGGAGAAAGCTTGGCTGAAGTTCACCCTGCTGGCTTTGTGCCTAAGGAGAGATTAGAACTCACGATCTCCTGGTTTGTAGCCTGGTACCTTAATCACTGCCCCATCCTGGCTCTCAATGAGGTTTTTAAGTTACCACGAAACTTTCCTCCAGTTTTCTGGAATCTCCCCTGTGTTAAGTCTACACATCTGAACTGCAAACATTGGCATGTCCACAAGATGGCAAAAAAGAGCTAGCATTTTCTGGGTGTATTTTTTGAAGTCTGCCCCCTAGGGGCTATCTGGATCTTTGCAGCCCTGATGTGTAAAAGGCCTTCCCTATAAAAAACCCCCACAAACTTCACAAACTAGCTAGGGGAGTGCTTATGTCAATGGATGCTGTCTTCTCCACTTCTGGCTGAAATTCAACCCTTCAGCTGTTCAGGCGTGAGCAAGCAGGGAAGGCTTATTGTTTCCGCTGAGGAGGGAATCAATGGGATTTTTAAAGCTTTTTTTCCTTCAAAAGTTAATCCGTGCAATTTCAGCTGTTCCCTGCATGTCAGTTTCCCTGCTTCTATTTGGTTATCTTATCAGGAATGGTACCATGTCTTTATCCAATGTTGAAGCTATTTTCTCTCTAACAAGGGTAAGAATCGAAAGAATCCATGTGTGTGTGTGTGTGTCTGTCTGTCTGCCTCTCTGTCTCATCTATAATCTATCCTCTATCTATCTGCGCCCCTCTCTATGTCTACATTTTCCTCCTGTCTGTCTGTCTGTCTCTCTGTCTCTCTCTCTCTTTCTATAATCTCTCTCCTATCTATCCGCTTCTCGCTCTGTCCATTTTTTCCTCCTGTCTGTCTATCTCTCTGTCTCTCTTTATCTATCTAGCCATCACCTATCTATCATCTATCTTTATCTCTATCATCTCTCTCTCTCTCTTTCATCTACGTATCTATCGCTTTATCATCTCTCTAACTATCATCTATCTATCTATCTATCTATCTATCTATCTATCTATCTATCTATCTATCTCTATCATCTATCTACGTATCTATCGCTTTATCATCTCTCTCTCTATCATCTATCATCTATATCTATCTATCTGTCTGTCTGTCTGTCTATCTTTCGGTCTATCTATCTATCTATCTATCTATCTATCATCTATCTACGTATCTATCGCTTTATCATCTCTCTCTCTAACTATCATCTATCTATCATCTATATCTATCTATCTATCTATCTGTCTGTCTGTTTGTCTTTCTGTCTATCTCTATACCTACCTACCTATCTATTATATATCATCTATCTATCATCTACCATCCATCTATCTACTTATCATCTCTCTCTCTCTCTCTCTCTCTCTCTCTCTCTCTTTCTCTCTCTCTCTCTCTCTCTCTCTCTCTCTCCTATCATCTCTACCATTCCCCCTTTGCCCCTTAAACCAAGGAATTACACGAAGAGAACAGGGAGGAAGAAGAAGAAAAATGCTTCAGGCCCCTTATTTAAAAACCTTTCCTTCTTAATCAGGGTCTGGTCTGAGTCTTTTCTCATCGGCTGCGAATCCAGAAGCTGAAAGGGTGTGGGCTCATTCAGAGTTATTTAAGCGACTCAGAAGGAAGCGGCTGAGAAACAAGGATATACTTACCCCAGGCAGGCCCAGGGAAGGCTGTGGGAAATGGGTTGCCCAAAGTGACACGGGTGGTGAGATGGTCTCGGTGGTCTTCAAGGGATGGAAGCCAATGCTGTTCCTTTTCGCGGCAGTCTTCTCCTCTCAGGCAGCTTCGATCTTGAACTTCAACCGTGTCTTTGGAGAACAATGAGTCCTTCTCTCCCACTTTATAAGCTGAGGGTCTTGGCTTGGGGGCCAATGAAGGCACCCCCCAAGACTACCCCCTTGATCTCCGATGACATCCCTCCTTTGTCCGGTCCAACCTGAAATTCCAGCTGGAGAGGGGGAAAAAAAGAGCAGAAAGTATGAGAGTCCAGGGATGAAGGGGGGGCTTACAGCCCACTTCTGCCATTTCAATTCCAAAAGGGGAGATGGCCTCATTGGTTGGTTGGTGGAGGGAGGGAGGGAGGGGGGCTGGCAGGCAGGGGAGTGGGCTAAAAGGACAAAAGGACCCTTCAGGCTGACCGAAACCGGCTCAAACCAGGATGGGTGACTCGATCTGGAATAGAGAGCCAGCCCAAAAACCTCCCGTCCTGTCCAGCAAATCGACAGGCTAAACAAACCGTATTAGAGCAGTCAGCTTTCCCCTGCCGTACCCACCCACTCTTTTCCAGGTCAACCCCTCTGCCTTTTTTTTGTTTTGTCTAAAAAGTTCCTTCGTCCGTCGACTTTTGAAAGAAAAAAGAAAAAAAAAAGAACAACTTGGACACGGAAGAAAATAAGAAAGTTGTAGCTCTGTAGGAAATGTAAGACTGGAAGTGGCTGAGAGGACAAGCACGGATTTTAACAAGGAGGAATTGCTAGCCAGGGTTAGCGTAACTGGGTATCTATCCATCATGGGCTGCAAAAGAGCACAGGCTTGAGTTTGGAGAAGGTATATACAGAGACCGTTAGCAAAATGTGAATTCGGTCCAAGAAAACAGGAAAGCGTAAGAAAGAAACTCAACATTAATTAATTAACCATAGAAGACCGCACACCAGAACAACTAGACACAAGGACAGTTTTTTTCCCAAATGCCATCACTCTGCTAAACAAATAATTCTCCCAACTATTTACAAAGTTGCACTACTATTATTATTAATCTTCTCATCACTCCTGATCACCCATCCCCTCTCACTTGTGACTGTATGACTGTAACTTTGTCGCTTGTATCCTTACTATTTATATTGACTGTTTCCTAGTATGCTTTGATTGCTTATTGTACCCTATGACTATCATTAAGTGTTGTACCTGATGATTCTTGACTCTTGATGAATGGATCTTTTCTTTTATGTACACTGAGAGCATTTGCACCAAAGACAAAGTCCTTGTGTGCCCAATCACATTTGGCCAATAAAGTATTGTATTGTATTATATTGTATTGTATTGGTATTGTTTTTGTATTGTATTGTATTGTATTGTATTGTATTCTATTCTATTCTATTCTATTCTATTCTATTCTATTCTATTCTATTCTATTCTATTCTATTCTATTCTATTCTATTCTATTCATACAAATAATGTTTTAGCTTGGACTCCAAATCCCATAAATGCAAGTGGTTTCTTGAGGAGGGGATTGTAGTAGAAAAAAACCATCTGAAGGACATCAGGTGGCCAACTTTTAAAGATGAACTTCTTGGGTGCGATTTGGATGCTGTCTCAAAAATAGAAGCTCCAGTGGCTACACCACGACTTACTCCTTATCTCTGGGGCCAAGCATGGGATTTTTCCAACTCCCCAGATTGGAAAATCCAGGAATCTTCAAATGCAACCATCATTTGCATCCTACAAATTGGTTGTGTTCTGATTATTTCACTCCCTTTTTACTAATCGTTCCGAGCGAGGCATTTTGCAAATTCATCTCATTTTGCCTGTTATTATTTCACTCCATTGTTGGAAATTTAATTGGTTTCTCTTTGCTGGAGCTTTGCTTCTATTCCCATATAGTACTCAAAACATATTTCCCCTGCCAGGCAGCCTGGAAACTTATTATAAAGTATTGATTCTCTCCAAGCTGGAGTTTGTACGGATGCCGCAATCTAGCAGCAGTCTTGTTGACATACATTCTTGCAAATTTCATTTTAGCAGCAAGTTCCTTTTTATTTATTTATTTGTGTGGGTGTGGGTGTGTGCAGGGTTCATAAGGCTTGCTTCGTGCATTGGAACGCCTTCCCCTTTTAAGCATGTTAATTATGGGTAGTCTTCCGAGTTATGAACACAATTGGGACTGGAATTTCTGTTGCTAACCATGCCTGATTTTACAACCTTTTGGGGCAAAATTGTTCTTCAGCTTCCCCGATGGTCAACGGGGAAGCCAGATTCACTGAACAGCCATAGCCATGTTACTAATTTAATTGACTTAACCACCGCGGCAAGGAAGGTCGTAAAATGGGACAAAGCTCACTTAACAAATGTCTCACTTGATGACCGAGGACTGCCTGTAGTTTAGACTGCTACTTTTAAATGGGAGGAAAAAAAATATCGGGAAGTTTTTGTGAGAAATGACCAAGCTGAGCCCGAAGGAGGGGTCAAATGTATCATCAGTCTGGAGTCTCTGTGTGCCCACAAGAAATCTAAGCCCAGCCCTCCTTGAATTCCCTTGATTTTTTTCTAGCGCCAATTTGCTTTGACTGTTAGTAGTTCAGATTCTTGTAGCGAAGCGAGCGCTTGCACTAAACCTTTATATTTGGTTTAAACTGCCTGGACTTCCTGGTTTTTCCTATGCTGGATAGAGGAAGTGGAGAGAACCAATCACGTTAGCTGGAACTACCCACCTTTTAGCCAATCCACATTAGGTTGGATTCCATAGGAGGGACTGTGCCCCCAACAGAGATCTAAGGGGGCAGGAAGACCTTCACAGGTGCCTAAAGAACCTCCAAGAACATGGTTGACACAACTCCAGAAATCTTCCCTGTGTCAGATTCTCACGATTGCAAAGGAATTCCAGAATTTTTCTTCCCTCTGACTAGGAACAGGTGAAGGGTCAGGTTCTAACAATTGTGACATCCACAACAGATGCTACAACAACAGAGCAACGGGCAAGTGGTGAAAAGATAAGAAAGCTACAAAGTCCTCAGCTGACATATCCACCCGAAAAGGCCAAATCTAGATTTCTTGTTCAGGTTACCAGGACAGAATCTTAACTATTCTAGCAAAAATCTTTTAAAAAAAGAGGTAAATCATTTCTCCCAAAGATTTCCATAATCATGTGGGATTTTTGAGAGCAGATGCTTCCTGAATGTTGATCCTAAATTCTAAGTGTGGGCAAAAAAATGTTATAGAACATCTGGATTCAGGGTGATTTGATGACGTCTTCAAAGCAAATAGACTTCTATTTATTTATTACATTTCTATGCCACTCGTCTTGCCCTCAGGCGACCGGGTGACTTACAACAAGCTAAAAATTGCAATATCAACACAATAAAACAAACAATTTATTTATATTGCTTAGATAAAGACAGCTAAGAAAGGAGCAATATATAAGCAGGCTGGAGGTAGAATCGTCCCTTCATTCACAAGTAGGTTGTGCTGAATTGCGCATCTCGGTATGCACATTATCTACACACACTTATTCTCACACGCATGTCTATTTGTACATTAAAAACTCCCTTTTGTGACCCTGCAATCCCTTAATTTGGGGTAAAATCGGGGTGACGGGATGGAGCTGAGCATTTACTGGCTGGATACCCTTCCTGATGCCTATGTGGAGTTCACAGCAGACATGTTTTCTTTGCTCTTTGAGGAGAGAAATATCTGCCACGAGGTAGGATTGCATTCTCAACGGGGGCGGGGGGGGGCTTCAAAAATTGTAGCAAAGGGTTCTGTGCCTGGTGGCTGGGTGGGCGTGGTCATGGTGGGCGTGGCCTAGTCGGCCTCCTGCACCATGGGGAGTGGGGCATTGAAGGACTGAAGGTGGCGTAGTTCTAGATGTTCTAGGTCTAGAATTTCAAGTCTGGTGGCATAAGGTATTCTGCAACAAGTAGAGGAGTGGAGAACTCTTCTTGTGAAATATTTCTGGACTTTCTCCACTGTATTAACATCACTGGAGGCTCTTAAGAAGAGATTGGAGAACCATTTGTCTGGAATGGTGTAGGGTTTCTCCCCTAAGTAGGGGGTTGGACTAGAAGATCTCCAAGGTCCCTTTCATTCTATTCTGCTCCCTTCTGATTGATGGATGGATTGAAATATCGGAAGACCACCATCACATCTCCCCTAGTCCTTCTCTTCCTAAGACTAGACAGCTCTTGGCTCGTGACGTCCTTCCGTCTCCCTCTCTCCTCTTTTCTTTTTGGGAAAAAAGAAATTATTACCACCAAAGAGAGAAAATAAAAGAAGAATGTTAAAATTCACTGCTTCCTCTGCAAATCCTTGAGAAGGCAACGTGTCTTATCAACCGAAGATTAAAAGACCTTGGCAGGCCTCAAAGGCATCGGGAAGGCGAGGGCCTTTCGCAAGCCCTTCCTCCCTTTCACACACCACAGCACACCACAAATGCACACACACACACACACACACACACACAGAGGCGTCATCCTTGGCACTTTTCCGATTCCCTCCTCCATTCCTAAACTTTGCCCAGCCGTTCAGAGTCTTCATCCGAGGAGGAGGAGGAGAGAGAGAGAGAGAGACAAACAACTCGGGTTGAGAAACGAGGTAAGGTTGCTGGAAAAGTTCCGAAAACCCAGCGAGGGTCCCGGTAGTGGATGATGGGAAAGGGGTTTCTTTTTGGGGAGGGGGGGTATGGGCTGGAGTTTGATTTCTTGGTTGGTGGTGGGGGGCTTTCCCCCCCCCCACATCTCCTCCTCCTCCCCCCCACCTTCCACCCAGGCCCTTCCATTTTCCTTCCTTGCCTTTCCAGGTGGAGCCAGTAAAAGGCTGTTCTTTAGAGGCATGGTTTTAAAAAAAAAAAATGGTTAGAAAAACGTCAAAAATTAGGAAATGGTGTGAATGTATCACTAAAAAAGTTAGAAAATGTGACCTGAATGCAGATTTGAGTATTATAATTCCCAAAGCGGGGTCAAAAATTCTAAGCAGGGATAATTGCTTTTCTGAGATCTTTTTTTACTTTCGTGGAACTAGAATTGATTTGGACATTTCCCCCCCCACCTTCCTTACTGCCTTACTTCCTCCCTCCTTTCCTTTCCTTTCCTTTCCTTTCCTTTCCTTTCCTTTCCTTTCCTTTCTTCCTTCCTTTCCTTCCTCCCTCCCTCCTTTGCTCCCTTCTTTGCTTTCCTTCCTCCCTCCTTTCCTTCCCTTCTTCCTTCCTTTCCTTTCCTTTCCTTTCCTTTCCTTTCCTTCCTTCCTCCTTTCCTTCCTTCCTTTCCTTCCTTCCTCCCTCCCTCCCTCCTTTCTTTTCATTTCCTTCCTTTCCTCCCTTCTTTCTTTTCCTTCCTCCCTCCCTTCCCTTCTTCCTTCCCTTTTTTCCTTTCCTTTCCTTCCCTTCCCTTCCTTCCTCCTTCCCTTCCTTCTTTTCCTTCCTCCCTCTCTCCTTTCCTTTCTTTTCCTCCTTCCTTCCTTCCTTTCCTCGCTCCCTTCTTTCCTTTCCTTCCTTCCTTCCTTCCTCCATTTCCTTTCCTTCCTTCTTTCCTTCCTCCTCCCCCCTTTCCTTCCTTCCTTCCTTTCCTTCCTTCTTTCCTCCCTCCCTCCCTCCCTCGCTACCTCTCTCCTGCACTCCCTCCCCCTTTCCTTCTTTCTTCCCACTTTCCTTCCAGAATTCTCCCCCACACCAATTCTTTTCTGCCTTCATAACAATACAATAACAATAAGATATCCTGACTGACTCAAGGTCGACTCAGCCTTCCGTCCTTCCAAGGTGGGTAAAATGAGGACCCAGATTGTTGGGGTTTGCAAGAGGCTGAGTCTGAAAAACGCTTAGAGGGGGCTGTAAAAGCACCGTGAAGCGGTATATAAGTCTAAGGGCTATTGCTATAATAACAACTCTAACCACTCCGAATAGAGACCTTTGAGATTGAAGGCGGTTTGAGTTTTGAAGTTTGATCCTCATTTATTTTATTTCATTTGCTAAATTTATTTGCTGCCAAACTTGCTCTGGGTGCCTCAATAAAAGGGGTGGGGGATTGAAAATGTAAATGTACCAATAGCAAAGGAATAAAACACGACACGCCATTGTACGATACATTTGCACACGATATGTTATATTATCGTGCACAACTTTAGAGGTAGACGATAAAAAAAGAAGAGATAAATCACTAACCGTGAATGAAGCATTCATCCCAAAGAATGCAGAGTTGAGTTTTGTTCAACCCTGGGCCTGATCTCCCAGAATTTTTTTTTCTCCCATAGAGTTAATACGTCTTAGGAAGTTTCTATTGCCCCCCACCCCAAATGGAGACGCTGCCCGATGTGGGTTTCGAAAGACCCTTCCACATTGAGACGCCTTTACTGGAAAGTGTGGCTCTTTCACAAGCAGCTGGAACCAAAGTCTACATGAAATTGGAGAATGCCCAGCCAAGCGGTTCCTTTAAAATCCGAGGCATTGGCTACTTTTGCCAACAGGTGAGTGGCTGAGGCGGGACAGGTAAGTCTTACGGGAATGTCCCCGTTGACTTGTTGCAACTTAGATGCCACCTGGGTAGATTTGCATATTTGCAAACTGGCTGCCATTGACAATTTCAGACCCTCCTTCGGCCTCCAGGAAACCTGGGTTTAGAAACATATGTTCTAGTCTCTTTGCAGACCTGTCACTGCATCACTGGTTTTTTTTTGGGGGGGTGCCTTTTTTAACCCCACTTGGGATGCAGTGGATCGGTGGCTAAGACGCTGAGCTTGTCAATCAGAAAGATTGGCAGTTCGGCGGTTCGAATCCCTAGCGCCGCGTCACAGAGTGAGCTCCCGTTCCTTGTCCCAGCTTCTGTCAGCCTAGCAGTTCGAAAGCACGTAAAAAAAAAAATGCAAGTAGGAAAATAGAGACCACTTTGGTGGGAAGGTAAAAGCGGTCCGTGCGCCTTTGGCCAGCCACATGACCATGGAGATGTCTTCGGACAGCGCTGGCTCTTCGGCTTTGTCACGGAGGTGAGTACTGCCCCCTAGAGCCGGAAACGACTAGCACGTAGGTGTGCGGGGAACCTGTACCTTTTTTTTTCAATGGAGAGAGAGGGGAGGGGTGAGAGGAATTGGGAGAGTCTCACCTGCATGCTGGTGAGAGGCACCTGGGATCTCTGGAAGAACCACAGCACAGGAGCGAAGTCAATTCTGGGTTTGGTTGGCACCAGTGGTAGGATTGAATTTTGTTTACTACCGGTTCTGTGGGCGTGGTTTGGTGGGCGTGGCAGGGGAAGGTTACTGCAAAATCCCCATTCTCTCCCCACCCAACTAACCTGCTTTCCAGCTCCGTTCTCCTGTGCAGAGCAACCAAAAAAGACTCAGATGATCAGCTGTGGGCATGGCTTGGTGGGCATGGTGTCCTGTGGGTGTGGTGTGGGCGGGGTTTGGTGGGCATGGCAGGGGAAGGTTACTGCAAAATCCCCATTCCCTCCCAACTCCACTAACCTGCTTTCCAGCTCCGTTCTCCTTTTCAGGGCAACCAAAGGAGACCCAGCCAATCAGCTGGGACTTCGGAGCGGAGAACAGATGGGGCGGGGCCAGTCAGAGGCGGTATTGGCCGGTTCTCCAAATGACTCAAAATTTCCGCTACCGGTTCTGCAAAACCAGTCCAAACCGGCTGAATACAAAAGCCCTTCTTGGTTTTTTCAAGGACAAGTGGAAATGATAGAGGGAAACGAAGAAAAACAACAAAAATCTGTTTTTTTTCCCCCCAATTTCAGATGGCTAAGAAGGGCTGTCGACATCTGGTCTGCTCCTCAGGTAAACAGCTGCTCTGTTTCCCTGGCCTTTCTGCACATCTGCAACAGAAACCGCTGGATGGCATTGACCTGCAGATTGCTTTCCAGTCTTAAACCTTCTGGCGTGTACACAATGGCAGCCTCGCTCCAAATATTATTGTGAAATGCGCATGTTTCGCGTAAACATGAAAGATACTATAATTAACTTATAGCCTTGTCTTGGGCGCATAGGTGGTCCCCATCTTACAAGAGTTTGCTCAGTGACCGTTTGAAGTCACAAGGCACTGAAAAAAAGGACTTGTGACCATTTTTCACACTTACAACTGTTACAGCATCCCCTTGGTTGACTCACATTTCCTTAGTCACATCCTATTTCCTCTGCTACTCAGATGTCATGTTAACAGATCATCAGAGTTGGAAGGGACTCATAGGTCATCTAGTCCAACCCTCCGCCCAAGCGGGAGACCCTACACCATTTCTGACAAATGGCAGTCCAGTCTCTTCTATAAAGTCTCCTTTATGATGGTTGCAGGGTCCCAGGGTCACCTGGTCCCATTTTGCGACCTTCACATTCAATGGGGAAGCCAGGTTCACTGAACAACTACAGTGATTTGCTTAGCAGCTATAGCCAAAAAAAAGATGATAGAGATAGATAGGATTAGAGATAGACAGATAGATAGATAGATAGATAGATAGATAGATAGATAGATAGATAGA